AATCAGTGAAACGTTAAGTTGAATAAAATACCGCCAGTATCTACGTTTATCTTAAGATGGAGAGGGGGGCGGCGGCGGCAGAGGAGGAGCGGGCGCGTCGTCGTCGCTGTCGTCCGGCGCGTCGCTGAGAGCAGAAGAGGCCGGCGGCGCGGACGCGCCGCCGCCCGCGGCGGACGAGGAGGCGGCGCCCGCGGCAGGGGCGGTGCGGTGCGGCTGCTTGGCGAGCATGTCTTCGATGAAGGTCTCCTTGGCCTGAAGGGGGGGGCGTGGGCGAGCGGGCCAGCGTCCACCTCTCGCGCGGGCGTGCCAACCTTGGGTGTGCGGTGCGCGGGTATGCGGTGCGCGGGTGTGCGGTGCGTGGGTGTGCGGGGGCGGCAGCGGCGCGGCGTGAGGCAAGACGCGGGAAAACGCCGTGCGGTCGGCGACAATCTCGGCCAATCTCGGCCAATCTTGGCGACTCCTCTCGGCTACTCTCGGACCTTGCGATCGGGTCCCTCGTCGAAGCCCTTTGCGCGCTCACCGTTGAGCAGCTCACGCACCTGTCGGCCAACCTCGGGCCCGATCTCGCCCGATCTCGCCCGATCTCGCCCGATCTCGCCCGATCTCGCCCAACCTCGCCCGATCTCGCCCAACCTCGCCCGATCTCGCCCGATCTCGCCCGATCTCGCCCAACCTCGCCCGATCTCGCCCAACCTCGCCCGATCTCGCCCGATCTCGCCCGATCTCGCCCGATCTCGGGTCCTCTCGGCTCCTCTCGCTCGCCTGGCGCAACTTCTCGTCGACCGCCGCCGAGATGGCGGACTTGTTTTCCTTCTCGACGTACCCCTCGAAGACGGCCGTGTTTAGCTCGTGCTCGGCGAGGAGCCGCAGCTGCTCCTTGGACCCCTTTTGCAGAAACTCGCCTGTCCGGGAGAGGAGGGAGAGGGGCGGGGGAGCGTGTCGTGCCGCGTGGCCGTGCAACCGCCGCCGCTCCTCGCAGCCTCGCAGCCTCGCAGCCCGTCTGCTGGCCGCCGTCCGGTCCACACGAGCCGAGATTCGCCGAGATTCGCCGAGATTCGCCGAGATTCGCCGAGATACGCGGGGAGGCGCGCCCACAAACGACTGGATCTGCGTGCGCGCGTCGTCGGGCTCGCCCCCGTCGTACGTCCCCTCGTCGCGCGCCTCGGCTGCGGCTGCCGCCTCGGCCTTCTTGCGCGCCTTTGACGTGGAGAGCAGAGAGCGATCTCTGGTGAGCTCTGGTGAGCTCGGGTGAGCTCGGGTGAGCTCGGGAGATCTCGGGAGATCTCGCCTTTCGGGTGAAGAGCAGGATGTCGGAGGGGTTCGCCACCTTGTCGACGAAGCGCTGGCCGAAGCGCTGCGGGTTGCAAGTCGCGTAGCCCGAGTAGTCGACGCGCAAGCGCACCAGGGGGAACTTAGCGCGGTTCTCGGCCGCCTTGGTGAGAGCGGTGGTGGTGTGCCGCTCGCGCAGCTCCAAGATCGCGGCCTCCACCTGCGCGGAAGGTTCGGGGAAGGTTCGGGGAAGGTTCGGGGAAGGTTCGGGGAAGGTTCGGGGAAGGTTCGGGGAAGGTTCGGGGAAGGTTCGGGGAAGGGCCAAGAGGGGAGGTGTGGGGAGTCGGGGGGGGGGGTCGGGGTCGAGGGGGGGGAGAGGACTCGCCTTCTCCTCCAGAAAGGCCATCAGGGTGGGCTCGTCGTTGAAGTCGTACTCCTGCTCGTAGTCCTGCAGCACCCCGTGCTTGAGGGTGAAGGGGAGATGTGGGGAGATGTGGGGAGATGTGGGGAGATGTGGGGAGATGTGGGGAGGTGTGGGGAGATGTGGGGAGGTGTGGGGAGATGTGGGCAGAGCTGTCCTGCAGCACCACGTCCTTGAGGATGAAGGGTCGCACCGTCTCGAGCGGCAGAGCGGTGAACTTCCACTGGTCGCCCCGCACCTACAGCAGACGGGCCGAGGTGAGCCTCCTCGAGCAGCCCGACGTGCTTGTCCTCGGCTGATCTCGGCGAATCTCGGCGAATCTCGGCGAATCACCTCGAGCAGCCCGACGTGCTTGTCCTCGGACTCGCCCTCGACCAGCGACGTCGCGACGGTCGAGCCCGGCTGCAGCACGACGAAGTTGTTGCCGACCGCCTCGGTGCCGGCGCCCGAGCCGATCTCGCACTTGTGCTCGTGCCCCCAGACGACGATGTCCATGCAGCTCGGCAGCTGCGACTCCTTGATGTACCCCTTCTTGCCGTCGCCCGCGCCGCGCTCGTGCCTGTTCAGCAGCGGGTCGCGAAGTGGGGGGCTGTGGGGGAGAGGGGCAAGGGGGCAGTGGGGGAGGGGGAGGGGGAGTGGGGGGGGGGGGGGAGGGGGAGGGGAGGGAGGGGGAGGGGTGCCGGTTCTGGTGCAGCGCGAGGAGGTTGAACCACTGGTCGGTGTCCTTGGACGGCCGAGCGACGCTCACCTCCTTCCGCTCGAGGGCGCGGTGGAGCCGCTCGTCGCGGATGTGGCCTAGAAGGTTCCCAGACAGTTCCGAGAAGGCTCTAGGAGGTTCCCGTGCAGCTCGTCGCGGAGGTGGCCCAGTCCGTAGAGCGCCAGCTTTGTGATTCCCTTTTGGATCAGGATCGGGTACAGCCGCACCGAAGCGATGTCGTTGGCGCGGCCAAAGTAGTTGACGAGGTTAGCCTAGGAAGTGTCTAGGAAGTGTCTAGGCCGTGTCTCGGCCAAAGTAGTTGACAAGGTTAGCCTACTCTCGACCACACCTCGGCCTCCTCGCGGCCTCCTCGCGGCTGGCCGGAGGAGCGGTCTAGGAAGTGTCTAGGAAGTGTCTAGGAAGTGTCTAGGAAGTGTCTGGCTGGACAGAGGAGCAGGCGAGGCGCGCCGTCGACATCAGGTCGAGGGCGGCGAGCCCACCGTCGCCGGCGGGGTCGTCGTGGTTGCCGTGGATGGAGAAGACTGGCAGCTGCGGGGGGCGGGGGGGGGTGGGGGGGGGAGTTGTGTGTGTGTGTGTGTGTGTGTGTGTGTGTGTGTGTGTGTGTGTGTGTTGGCAGAGGGGGGGGAAGGTAGCAGGGAACGGATGAGTGTTGTGTGAGGACTACCACCACTGCTAGCGGCACCTGCACGTTGTAGTTTGAGTCCTCGTAGTTGACGCTCTTGTACTTGTCGTGGAAGTTTGCCGTCTGGTCCGAGACGACCTGCGGCCAGAGACATAGGCAGTGTCGTGGAAGTGTCTAGGAAGTGTCGTGGAAGTTTGCCGTCTGGTCCGAGACGACCTGCGGCGGCGGCAGTGCGAGGGCGACGGCGAGGAAGGTTGCGCCGGTGCGGGCGGTGAGGACGGTGGTTGTGTGAGGGCGGTGGTGTGAGGGCGGCGGAGGCGAGGGCGGGAGGCGGGCGTGGCAGCGGCGGGCGGGGCAGCGGCGGGGCGGAGAAAGAGTGGGGGTGGCGATGATGCTGGGCGGCGTCGGTGAGGACAAGCAGCTGGGCAGGCGGGCGGGAGGGCGGGCGGGGGGTGGGCGGGCGGGGGCGGCTGGGGTGGGGGGAGAGTGGCAGAGCGTGGGGCCGTCGGTCGCCTCGATGTGCACTTCGCGCTGGCCGAGGCAGTGGTCACGCAGGACCTGGTGGGGTGGGGGGGGAGCGGGGGGGGAGGAGGAGAGGGAAGGGTGGAGGAGGGGTGTGGACGCTGGAGGAGGGCGCGGAGACGGGGCGAGGGAGGAGGGCGCGGAGACGGGGCGAGGGAGGAGGGCGCGGAGACGGGGCGAGGGCCTGTGGACCGGCGAGAGCGTGTGAACCGGCGTCGAGGGTGCGAGGTCTCAAGGTGGGAGCGAGAGCCACGGGCGCCTCCATGCACCGCTGGAGGGCGCGGCGAGAGGGCTTGTTGTCATGGAAGAGGTCTCCCGCGAGGAGGACCATGTCAGCCTGCTGCTCGTTCGCCTTGATGAAGATCTCCTCGAACGTGTTGAACGAGTCCTCGCCGCGGATCGGGTCCTGAGGGCGCCGGTTGCGATTGTGGCTGCTGGGCGAGTGGTGACGATGCGGCGGGGAGGGAGGGCTGCGGGAGAGGCATGTGGCGTGGGACGGTAGGCTGCGCCGCAGGCGCGCGAGTCGAGAGGCTTGGGTGCAGCCGGCGCATGCGGCGTGGCCCTGCGGGCCTTTTCAGCGTAGCCAAGGTGCATGTCGGAGGCGATTAGGATGCGAAGGACATCGCCGTCGCCATCTTCGGCCATGGTCGAGGCCAGGAAACCCGGAATGCGGGCCCGTTCGCTGGCGGCAGGCACTAAAGAATTCGGATGACGCTGCGGCCGACTGGCGGGGCCTGTCCTTCTCCCACCCCTTGTTTGCGTTTTATTTATTTATTTATTTGGCGGGCCATGAAGGTCGAGTTCCCGCTGCCACTCGGCTCTCTCGGCGTGCCTCGAGGCTGGCTGCACGTCCTCAACCGCGACGAGGCCGCGGCCGCGGTGGCGGATTCTGCCGGCCTGGTCGCCAGCTTTGTTGCGAGCGGGAGCATCGTCTGTCACCGGGTGGAGACGCTCGAGGCGAACGAGTCGGCCAACGAGGCGGAGTGGCTAGCGCTGGCGGCCGCCGAGATCCGGCAGCCTTCGATGCCGAGCGCCAGCGGTGGTGGGCTTCTCTCAGCCACCGACCTCACACTGCTGAGGGTCGTGACAACCTACCGAGAGCACCTCACGCGCTGGCCAGAGCACAAGTGGTGGGGCGGCGTGGACGGCATCGAAGACGAGCTCGGGCCGTGCGACAGCCACAGCCCCGACTGCAGGTGCAACAGGGCCGCGAAGCCACCACCAGAGGATACGGGTTCTGCGTCCGAGGCGCCACTGCCGCGGAGTTTTGGATCGGAGCTGCGCCCGCTCGCGCGCTGCTGCGGGCCGTCGTGTCGCACGCTGCGGCTCGCGTCGTGTGAGGTGCAGCTCGTCGCTGATGGAGGAGGAGCGGATGGCAGCCAAGCGGCCGCGGAGAGAGGCGACGGGGCGCAGCTGCGGCGAGAGGCGGCTCCGCTCCGTGCGTCCCTGTGCGTCTACCTCGAGGCGGCGGCCTTCGACCTCGACGCGCGGTTGGACGCGGGCGCCGCTCTCTCTCTTCTCTCTCTCTCTCTCTCTCTCTCTCTCTCTCTCTCTCTCTCTCTCTCTCTCTCTCTCTCTCTCTCTCTCTCTCTCTCTCTCACTCTCACTCTCTGAGAGACTCTCTCAACCTCTCCCTCTCCCTCCCCTCACGAAAGAACGCACGTGGCAGCGACACCTCCAGGGCGCGGCTCTCATGCGATGTCTGCTCTCTTTCATTACCAGGCGCGGTGCGCGCGGACTTCTCCGGAGGCTCGCCGGCCGAGGCATTCGCGCAGGCACATCTCCCGGCGATCTCCCGGCGATCTCCCGACGATCTCCCGACGACCTCGTGGCCACCTCTCGGCTATCCCTCAGCTACCCCTAGCCATCTCCCGGCTGTCTCCCGGCTATCTCCCGGCTATCTCCCCCGGCTACCTCTCGGCCAGGCGGAGCGGGGCGAGCGGCCTCTGAGCCAGCGCGGCGGTCGCCGCGAGCTGCTGGCACTGGTCGGGCGGCTGCTGTCGGCGGCGGAGCCTGCAGTGGCGGGAGTCAGCAGGGAGGGGAAGCGCGGCTCTGACCCCTCCCGGGCCTCCCTGCGGGCGGCGGAGTCCGATCCCGCGGTGGAGGATGGCGGCGGTCTGCGCTGCGTCTCGTGCGCAGCGACGCTCAACGGCTACCGCGGCGTGAGCCGTGACAGCGTGGAGGGCGGCGGCGCGGGAGGCGGCGGCGAGGGAGGCGGCGGCGAGGGAGGCGGAGGCGAGGGAGGCGGTGGCGAGGGCGGAGGAGGCGAGGGAGGCGGTGGCGAGGCGGCCTCCTCCGCCCGCTTCTCCGTCTCTGCCCTGCTCGAGTCGGTCTCGCAGCGAGGAGCGATGAACGCGGAGCCGCCGACAGACGCGGCGGGCGTTGCGGCGCTGGCGGCGATCGCGCCCAAGATGCGGACGACGCTGCACACCCTTCCCAGCAGCGGCAGCGGCGCGTGGGGCTGCCCGAGAGGACGGCGACGTCTGCCCGAGAGTAGGTACCCCTTCCAGCAGCGCGGCGTCGCGTGGATGGTCGCGCAGGAGTCGGCTCCATCTCGACTCACATCTCGGCTACATCTCGACTCACATCTCGGCTACATCTCGACTCACATCTCGGCTACATCTCGACTCACATCTCGGCGACACTTCTACATCTCGGCTACGCCTCGGCTACGCCTCGGCTACACCTCGGCCACATGGTCGCGCAGGAGTCGGCGGGCCACTGTCCGACGACGCTGCACCCCGCCTGGATGCGGCTCGCCGCGCCAGAGGGGCAGAGCTTCTCCCTCCACGCTAGCCCTCGCCCTAGCCCCTCTCCCCCGACCCTGGCCCGGAGAGCGACCCCCTAGGCAGAGCTTCTACCTCCACGCGCACACGGGCGAGGCGTCGACCCGCTTCTTCGCCGCGCCGCCGCCCACGACATGTGGCGGGATGCTCTGCGATGATGTTGGGCTGGGCAAGTCGGTGCAGGCGCTCGGCGCGATGCAGCCGGGAGGTAGCCGCGATGTAGCCGCGATGTGGTCGGCCAGGGCAGGCCAGTGCGGGCGTTCGGTGTCCTCCTTGCCCATAGCTGTGAAGAGACGCGGTGCACAACTCTCGCAGGTGCTCGGCCTGGTCCTCGCAAGGCCTCCGCCTGCCGGCTGGTCGGCGCCGCACCCGCTGCCGCGCGCCACCAAGGCGGTGCTGCCGGTCAAAGCGTCGCTGCTCGTCGCGCCGGCGGCGCTGCTGCCGCAATGGGAGGCCGAGCTGCACAAGCACACGGTCCAAGGGGCGCTCCGCTCCGCCACGTACGTTGGTGTCGGCAGCGCGCCTCCGCCGCCTCCTCCGCCAGAGGAAGAGGAGGAGGAGGAGGAGGAGTCCGTTGCGGCGGAGGGGGAGAGCCAGGTCCGGCGCCCCAAGCGGTCCCGCAGCAGCGTGAGCCGCTACCAGCCAGGCGGTGTTTCCGCGGCGGCGGCACCGGCGGGGGAGGCGGACGGGGGGGAGGAAGAGGCGGTCGAGGTGCTCGCTTCGACGCGGCCGGGCCTCTTCGTGTGTGGGGCCGGGGAGGCGTGCGCCGTCGAGGAGTGCGACGTCGTGTTTTGCTCGTTCGAGACGCTGCGGGACGAGCTCAAGGTCGTCGGCAGGGGCGGGAGGGGGGGCGGCATCGGCGGCGGCAGCGCAAGAGGCGGTGCGGGCGGCGGCGGCGGGATGGGGGCGTCGCCACTTGGCACGCTTGGCTTCTGGCGCATCGTGCTAGACGAGGCCCAGGCGGCGACTATGCTGCCGAGATCCAGCCGAGATCCAGCCGAGATCCAGCCGAGATCGCGTTGGATCGTCCCACAGCGTCCTCGGGGTGAGGCACAGCGTCTCTTCAGGTGGTGAGCAACAGCGCGTCGGCCGCGGCGGTGATGGCGTCCGCGCTCTGGAGGCGGCAGGCGTGGGTGGTGACGGGGACCCCAGTCAACTCGCGGCTGGCGGAGCTTCAGGGCCTCCTCGCCTTCCTCGACGCGCGCCCCTTCTCCGAGCCGGCCTCCTTCAACGCGCTCGTCCGCCACCCCTAGAAGCGGAATCCCTGTGTTTCGACGGGCACTCGAGAGGACACGTGTTCAGCTGTTCTCAGCCGTTGTCAGCCGTGTCGGTTCGCACCCCTCGTATTCACGCGGTGCTCTGTAAACGCTGCACGAGACCGCGTTCCCGCCCCGACCTCGGTGTACTCATGGCATAGGTCCACCATGCGTTCGAGCGTCGGGCCGACGAGGCGGCGTATGCCCCGCATGCAGTCCCTCCCCTGGGGCCTTCTCGGAGCCTGGAGCGGAGCCTCCTCGGAGCCTCCTCCCCGCAGGCGGCGCTGCTTCGCATGCGGACCCTCCTCTCGGCGCACTTGCTGCGCCGCACCAAGGCGGACCCGGCGGTCGCAAAGCAGCTCCGCCTCCCTCCGGTCGAGTGGGTGACGGTCGGCATCGAGCTCGAGGTTGCCGAGCGAAGCCGCGGGAGCCCTCTCGGAGCCGTCCCTGAGCCACTCGCCGATCCTTCCGGCAACCTTCTCGCAGGTTGCCGAGCGTGCCGCCTACGACGCCGCCCTCGCCGACCTGCGCGCATCGCACGGCGCATTCGCGCGCGTCGTCGAGGCGGCGGCCGGCGCGCGAGGCGCACAGCGCCGTCTTGACGAGGCGCGAGCGCCTCCGCCCTCCCCTCTCTCCGGCGGCTTTGAGCACGGCCGCCCTTCACACACGCACGGAAGGTCGAGAGCGGACAGACAGACAGCACCGGGCTATCCAACGCGATAATTTGCACAGGCGCGTCGGCGGCGCGGCTTGGACGCACGCGACTTTGAGAGCGCGGGCGCGTTCTCGTCGCTGGTGCAGGCGCGCAAGATGGGCGAGCTCAACGGAACGCTCACCCGCGTGCGGCAGATGCTCTGCTCCCCGTTCGCGGTCAACGCTGAGAAGGTTGGGGGCGGATTGGGCAAGGGCGAGGCGGCCGTGCTCGCGTCCGCAACCCGCTTGCCGCAGCGGACGATCCTCGAGCGGCTTGTGGCGCAAGCCTCGCGCGACCGCGACAACGCGGCGGTGGCGCATCTGCGCGCTCGCGCCGCGCTGTGCGCCGCGCAAGTGGCGCTTTTCCTCCTCCTCCGAGCCTTCTCTGAGCTTGTCCGAGCCTCCCTGTAGGTACGTGGCGCACGTGGCGCTCGCGCCGCACACCCTAGAGGTGGAGGCGGAGGAGGATCCGGGTGCGGAGGTTGGCGCGGTGGCTGCCGAGACGGCGGAGGCGGCGGAGGCGGAGGAGGAGGAGGCTGCGGACGCGGAGGCGCCGGTAGCGAGCGCAAAGGCCAGGGGCAAGCGCAAGGCGGCGGGCGTGGCCGGCGGTTCGACCCGGGTTGGCAAGGGCAAGGCTGGCGGCAAGACCAAAGCTGGCAAGGCGAAGCCGCCCGCCCCGCGAGGCCCGCTCGCGGGCCTGCATGGGCAGGAGAAGGTCCTCGCCGAGCTCGACGACCTCGTCGCCCGCTCAAAAGAGCGGTGCGCCGCCGCGTCGAGTGACGAGGCGGTGCAGCGGATCCTCGAGGTGCGGCGGCAGTGCGCGAAGTGCCAACGCACGCCGGGGACGGCGCTCAAGAGCGCGGCGGCGGCCGCGGCCGCGGCGTCAGAGGCGGCGGCGTCAGAGGCGGCGTCAGAGGCGGCAGGGGCGACGGTGGCAGCGTCGGTCGCCGAGGAGGCGGTCTGCGGCGGGGGCGGGGGCGGCGAGGGTGGCGAAAAGGGCAACGGTGTCGGTGAGGCTTGCGCGGAGGCGGGCGGCGCGTGCAGCAAGGGCGGCTCGCACGCTTTTCGCGTGGTTGCGCCGCGTCGATGGGCGGTGTTGCGGGCGGCGCTCAAGAAGCTGTATCTTGGCAAGGACGCGCCGTGGGACGTGGACGACGAGCGGGAGGCCAAGGCGGCGGCGGCGGCCGAGCGACGCAAGGTTGTTCAGGACGCCGACGGCAAGGTGGTCAAGTCGCGGCGGCAAGGACGCAAGGATGCGCAGAGCGAGGCGGCGGCGGCGGCGGCCGCTGCCGCCAGTGCGGCCCCAGATGGATGGGGGCGGCCTGCGAAGCGGCACCCGGCCCTCGCCGCCATCTTTACCGCCTGGCGGCGGAGCGGCGTGGATGCCGCGCTGCGCGAGGGCGCAGCGGCCGTCGAAGGCACGGCGAGGGTGCTGCGCGAGAAGAAGTCGAACGAGTCATTCCTGCAGGCGAAGTTGGACCGCTACGACCACGGGGCGGCGGGAGCGGCGGGCGGCGGAGTGGGCGGCGGCGTGGGCGGCGCAGAGGATGGGGCGGAGGCGGAGGCGGAGGGCGCGGCGGCGGCTGCGCAGGTGGCGGCGCGCAAGGTGTACAGATCGCCCATGAGCGGACCATTTGGTCTGTAGTGAGTGTCGATCGATTAGGTGGTGGCGCTCGAGGCGGAGACTTGTCCGATATGCTTCGACGACCGCGGCGATGGCGCGTCAACAGCACATCCTCCGTCGCCGCGCCAAGACGTGTCCGTGACGCGTCCACGATAGCGCCTCAGGCGCGTGGGTTGTGACGCCGTGCGGCCACGCCGGGTGCTACGAGTGCATCCTGCAGTGGGTGGAGGAGCGGGTCACTTGCCCCGTCTGCAAGCAGGGCGGGCTCACCGCCGGCACACTCTTCGAGGTTGAACCCGCGCCTCCTCCGCCGCCGCCAGAGGCGGCCGCCGCGGGAAGCGGCGTGGGCCGGCAGCCAGGTTCGTTCGGGAGCTCAGGGGCGGGCGGGGCGGCGGGAACCTCCTCCGCCTCTGCCTCCTCCGCCTCCGCCTCCTCCGCCTCGCCGGGCGGGTGCGGCGTCCCGCTGGGCCGCGATCTCGACAAGTCGCTCGTGCGCGAGTACGGCTCCAAGATTGCCGCGCTGCACCAGGTGGTGGCGGCCGCGGTCGAGCGCGGCGAGAAGGTGGTCGTCTTCTCGGCGTGGACGCGGCTGCTCAAGCTCGCCGCCGACGCGCTCGCCTCTGCGGGCATCGCGTGCGCGTCGCTCGTCGGCTCTGCGGCGGCGAAGCAGGAGGCGCTCCGCCGCTTCGGGGCGGCGGGCGGGCTGCCGCTTGCGGCTGCGGACGGCGACGTCTCACGCGACGCTGCTGCGGCGGGGGCGAGCGGCGCCGGCGCCGGATCGTGCGACGCGCTGCTGGTGCCGCTCTTTGGGGGTGCATCGGGCGCGGGCGGTTCGGGCGCTGCGGGCCTCAACTTGCAGGTCGCGAGCGTGGCTGTGTTGCTCGAGCCGTCGTTGCAGCCGGGCATCGAGGCGCAGGCGGTGGGCCGCATCTGCCGGCTGGGGCAGGAGAGGGCGACCAAGGTGGTGCGGCTCATCGTCCAGGAATCGATCGAGCCAAACATCCTGCTCTGGCAGAGCCGCCGCCTCGCGCGGGGCGCGGTTTCCGCTTCCGGGCACGCGCCGCTCGGTCTCAGCGATTTCGTGCACGTGCTCGGCTCCGGACGTAGCAGAGGGGGAGGAGGCGCGAGGGCCGCGTGACTGTGTGTGGATGCCTTGGCGAGGGGCTACCAGTGGTCCGACTCCTTGTGATACCAGCTGCGGGTCGCCAGTGACGCCGGTGTGGCAAGACTCTACTCTGGTGTGGCAGCCGTTTGTTTGTATAAGCGGCCCTCTCCCCGTGCCCCCCCAGAAAACCAAACTCCCAAAATGTATCAAACTCCCAAATGTCGGACTGTTCTCTTCACACCTCGCACTACAGTGCACATTCGGAGTCGGCGGGCACGTCGGCCCATGGGCATGGCGCGCACGTGTAGCTATGACAGGGACCGCGGCCGCGGAACACCGGCGGCGGACGGGGCTGGCGCGCAAGCGCCGGCCACCGTCGTGCTGCCGGGGCGGGGAGGCGCAGCGGACCCTGGAATGGCTCCGATCGCGCGCAACTGGAGGACGCAGTGAGTGTCGCAAGCGGGTTGTTCGGTGTTTCTTGTGTCAGGGTGATAAAGCCTGGCTACGCGACCATCGAGGTCGACCTGAAGCACGTGCAGGCGGCGGAGCGCTCGTACATCGAGCGCACCGCGCCGAAGAAGAAGGATCCCACCAAGGAGCAGCTCGCGGCTCGAGCCGCGGCACGCAAGGCCAAGAAGGCCCGGCAGAAGGCGCGCCGGGCGGAGGAGGCTGGCGAGCGCGCCGCGAGCGAGGCCGAGCGTGCGGACTACCCGCACGCGCAGCTGCGCGAGAACGTCGAGTTCGTGATGGAGGGCCTGGAGGCTGCGACGCAGGCGGCGCGCAACCACCGGGTCCAACATTCAGGTCGCATACTCGCTGCCTCCCGAGGGGGGCAGCGGGTTCGGCGACCTGGTGTACGCCACGGTCCCTCAGGGCTCCGTGGCGACGAAGGTCGCCCGGGACTGGCCGCGAGCGTCGCGCACACGCCGCGGCCGTCGCCGAGGTCCTCAAACGACTCGACGCGCGACTTGATGCGCACGGTGCCGTCCGGGAAGCCGTGCTTGACGAGGATCTGCTGGATGACCGGGCGGTCGATGACGACCGTCGCCGGCAGCCCCGCCTCGAGCGCCGGCCCGATCGTGTCGAAGCGCACCAGCCAGTCGCCGCGGTCGTACAGCCCCGCCAGCTTGTTGCCCTTCTTGTAGCCAATCTTGAGGCCGGAGACGCGGTCGGCGGTGACGGTGCCCGCGGCGACGAGCTCCTGGAAGCACTCGGGCGAGATGCGCTCGATGGCGCGCAGGCGCATTCGACTGGATCTGGATCGGCCCGCCGTACGGCGCGTACGACGACGCCTGCTCGAAGAGCGCGACCTTCATCCCCTTGGCGTGGCATGCCGCCGCGGTGATGAGGCCGGCGAGGCCGCCGAGGCCGCCGCCGGCGACGAGGACGGTGAGCGGGTCGTCCTTTGTGACCTCGCGCCCGCCGGGCGCCACGTCGCGCGGCGTGCGCCACCACGCCGTCGCGTCCTCCTCGCCGATGAGCATGCCGCGCAGCGCCTGCGCGTCGGCGGCCGCCTCCTCGAAGCGCGAGCGGATGCGGTGGGTGCGCTCCTCGCTCTCGGCCTCGCGCTTGGGCGCGACCGGCTGCACGAGGATCTCGCGCACGTGCTCCGGCATGTCCACACCACCTTGTTCGCCGGGTTGCCCTCGCCCTCGGCGAGCCACGGAAACTGCGGCAGATCCTGCTTCAGCTTTCGCAGCAGCTGCGCCGGCCCGACGGACGTGGCCTGCTCGCCGATGACCATGGAGACGTCGCGCCGCACGCGCGGCGCGTGCCGCGCGCCCGGCGACGCCCGCGGCGGTGAGGTTGGTGGCGGTCGAGTAGCTGCCCGCAACGCACGGCAGCGGCGCCGACGCGCCCTCGGCGCAGTAGCTGCCCTCCACGCACGGAAGGCAGCTCGTCGCGTTCGACTCGCCCTGGTACGTCCCGCCCGCACAGCTGGCGCACTTGGAGAGGCCGGCCGTGGCGGCGAAAGAGCCCGGCGAGCACTCGGAGGGCGGCGCCGCCCCGCCGCCGCACGACGAGCCGGCGGGGCAGTCGAGGCACTCGGGGTCGCCGCTCCGGTCGGTCAGCCTGGCGTACGTGCCCGCCTCGCACTGCGCGTCCAGCTCGCGCGACGACCCCACCGGGCAAAACTTGCCAGCAGCGCAGCGGACGCAGGCGGCGGCGGCGGGCTGGTCCTGGTAGTACCCCTTGGCGCACAGCTCGCACGCGTCGTTGCGGGTGCCGTTGGCGAAGCTGCCCTCGCGGCACGCCGTCTGCTCGGTGGAGCCGGTGGTGGCGAAGTGGCCCGGCGTGGCGTCGGTGCACTCGCTCGCGTCGGTGAGGTTGGTGGCGCTCGAGTAGCTGCCAGCCTCGCACGGCAGCGCCGCCGCCGCGCCAACAGCGCAGTAGCTTCCCGCCTCGCACGGCTCGCACGCCGTCTTGCCTTCCTCGTCCTGGTACGTGCCGCCGGCGCAGGGCGTGCACGCGCCCTGCCCGTACGCGTCCGTGTACGACCCCTTGGCGCACGCCGTCTGCTGCGTGGAGCCGGTGGTGGCGAAGTGGCCCGGCGAGGCGTCGGTGCACTCGCCCGCGGCGGTGAGGTTGGTGGCGGTCGAGTAGCTGCCCGCAACGCACGGCAGCGGCGCCGACGCGCCCTCGGCGCAGTAGCTGCCCTCCACGCACGGAAGGCAGCTCGTCGCGTTCGACTCGCCCTGGTACGTCCCGCCCGCACAGCTGGCGCACTCGGAGAGGCCGGCCGTGGCGGCGAAAGAGCCCGGCGAGCACTCGGAGGGCGGCGCCGCCCCGCCGCCGCACGACGAGCCGGCGGGGCAGTCGAGGCACTCGGGGTCGCCGCTCCGGTCGGTCAGCCTCGCGTACGTGCCCGCCTCGCACTGCGCGTCCAGCTCGCGCGACGACCCCACCGGGCAAAACTTGCCAGCAGCGCAGCGGACGCAGGCGGCGGCGGCGGGCTGGTCCTGGTAGTACCCCTCGGGGCACAGCTCGCACGCGTCGTTGCGGGTGCCGTTGGCGAAGCTGCCCTCACGGCACGCCGTCTGCTCGGTGGAGCCGGTGGTGGCGAAGTGGCCCGGCGTGGCGTCGGTGCACTCGCTCGCGTCGGTGAGGTTGGTGGCGGTCGAGTAGCTGCCAGCCTCGCACGGCAGCGCCGCCGCCGCGCCAACAGCGCAGTGGCTTCCCGCCTCGCACGGCTCGCACGCCGTCTTGCCTTCCTCGTCCTGGTACGTGCCGCCGGCGCAGGGCGTGCACGCGCCCTGCCCGTACGCGTCCGTGTACGACCCCTTGGCGCACGCCGTCTGCTGCGTGGAGCCGGTGGTGGCGAAGTGGCCCGGCGAGGCGTCGGTGCACTCGCCCGCGGCGGTGAGGTTGGTGGCGGTCGAGTAGCTGCCCGCAACGCACGGCAGCGGCGCCGACGCGCCCTCGGCGCAGTAGCTGCCCTCCACGCACGGAAGGCAGCTCGTCGCGTTCGACTCGCCCTGGTACGTCCCGCCCGCACAGCTGGCGCACTCGGAGAGGCCGGCCGTGGCGGCGAAAGAGCCCGGCGAGCACTCGGAGGGCGGCGCCGCCCCGCCACCGCACGACGAGCCGGCGGGGCAGTCGAGGCACTCGGGGTCGCCGCTCCGGTCGGTCAGCCTCGCGTACGTGCCCGCCTCGCACTGCGCGTCCAGCTCGCGCGACGACCCCACCGGGCAAAACTTGCCAGCAGCGCAGCGGACGCAGGCGGCGGCGGCGGGCTGGTCCTGGTAGTACCCCTTGGCGCACAGCTCGCACGCGTCGTTGCGGGTGCCGTTGGCGAAGCTGCCCTCGCGGCACGCCGTCTGCTCGGTGGAGCCGGTGGTGGCGAAGTGGCCCGGCGTGGCGTCGGTGCACTCGCTCGCGTCGGTGAGGTTGGTGGCGGTCGAGTAGCTGCCAGCCTCGCACGGCAGCGCCGCCGCCGCGCCAACAGCGCAGTAGCTTCCCGCCTCGCACGGCTCGCACGCCGTCTTGCCTTCCTCGTCCTGGTACGTGCCGCCGGCGCAGGGCGTGCACGCGCCCTGCCCGTACGCGTCCGTGTACGACCCCTTGGCGCACGCCGTCTGCTGCGTGGAGCCGGTGGTGGCGAAGTGGCCCGGCGAGGCGTCGGTGCACTCGCCCGCGGCGGTGAGGTTGGTGGCGGTCGAGTAGCTGCCCGCAACGCACGGCAGCGGCGCCGACGCGCCCTCGGCGCAGTAGCTGCCCTCCACGCACGGAAGGCAGCTCGTCGCGTTCGACTCGCCCTGGTACGTCCCGCCCGCACAGCTGGCGCACTCGGAGAGGCCGGCCGTGGCGGCGAAAGAGCCCGGCGAGCACTCGGAGGGCGGCGCCGCCCCGCCGCCGCACGACGAGCCGGCGGGGCAGTCGAGGCACTCGGGGTCGCCGCTCCGGTCGGTCAGCCTCGCGTACGTGCCCGCCTCGCACTGCGCGTCCAGCTCGCGCGACGACCCCACCGGGCAAAACTTGCCAGCAGCGCAGCGGACGCAGGCGGCGGCGGCGGGCTGGTCCTGGTAGTACCCCTCGGGGCACAGCTCGCACGCGTCGTTGCGGGTGCCGTTGGCGAAGCTGCCCTCACGGCACGCCGTCTGCTCGGTGGAGCCGGTGGTGGCGAAGTGGCCCGGCGTGGCGTCGGTGCACTCGCTCGCGTCGGTGAGGTTGGTGGCGGTCGAGTAGCTGCCAGCCTCGCACGGCAGCGCCGCCGCCGCGCCAACAGCGCAGTAGCTTCCCGCCTCGCACGGCTCGCACGCCGTCTTGCCTTCCTCGTCCTGGTACGTGCCGCCGGCGCAGGGCGTGCACGCGCCCTGCCCGTACGCGTCCGTGTACGACCCCTTGGCGCACGCCGTCTGCTGCGTGGAGCCGGTGGTGGCGAAGTGGCCCGGCGAGGCGTCGGTGCACTCGCCCGCGGCGGTGAGGTTGGTGGCGGTCGAGTAGCTGCCAGCCTCGCACGGCAGCGGCGCCGACGCGCCCTCGGCGCAATAGCTGCCCTCCACGCACGGAAGGCAGCTCGTCGCGTTCGACTCGCCCTGGTACGTCCCGCCCGCACAGCTGGCGCACTCGGAGAGGCCGGCCGTGGCGGCGAAAGAGCCCGGCGAGCACTCGGAGGGCGGCGCCGCCCCGCCGCCGCACGACGAGCCGGCGGGGCAGTCGAGGCACTCGGGGTCGCCGCTCCGGTCGGTCAGCCTCGCGTACGTGCCCGCCTCGCACTGCGCGTCCAGCTCGCGCGACGACCCCACCGGGCAAAACTTGCCAGCAGCGCAGCGGACGCAGGCGGCGGCGGCGGGCTGGTCCTGGTAGTACCCCTCGGGGCACAGCTCGCACGCGTCGTTGCGGGTGCCGTTGGCGAAGCTGCCCTCGCGGCACGCCGTCTGCTCGGTGGAGCCGGTGGTGGCGAAGTGGCCCGGCGTGGCGTCGGTGCACTCGCTCGCGTCGGTGAGGTTGGTGGCGCTCGAGTAGCTGCCAGCCTCGCACGGCAGCGCCGCCGCCGCGCCAACAGCGCAGTAGCTGCCCGCCTCGCACGGCTCGCACGCCGTCTTGCCTTCCTCGTCCTGGTACGTGCCGCCGGCGCAGGGCGTGCACGCGCCCTGCCCGTACGCGTCCGTGTACGACCCCTTGGCGCACGCCGTCTGCTGCGTGGAGCCGGTGGTGGCGAAGTGGCCCGGCGAGGCGTCGGTGCACTCGCCCGCGGCGGTGAGGTTGGTGGCGGTCGAGTAGCTGCCCGCAACGCACGGCAGCGGCGCCGACGCGCCCTCGGCGCAGTAGCTGCCCTCCACGCACGGAAGGCAGCTCGTCGCGTTCGACTCGCCCTGGTACGTCCCGCCCGCACAGCTGGCGCACTCGGAGAGGCCGGCCGTGGCGGCGAAAGAGCCCGGCGAGCACTCGGAGGGCGGCGCCGCCCCGCCGCCGCACGACGAGCCGGCGGGGCAGTCGAGGCACTCGGGGTCGCCGCTCCGGTCGGTCAGCCTCGCGTACGTGCCCGCCTCGCACTGCGCGTCCAGCTCGCGCGACGACCCCACCGGGCAAAACTTGCCAGCAGCGCAGCGGACGCAGGCGGCGGCGGCGGGCTGGTCCTGGTAGTACCCCTCGGGGCACAGCTCGCACGCCTCGTTGCGGGTGCCGTTGGCGAAGCTGCCCTCGCGGCACGCCGTCTGCTCGGTGGAGCCGGTGGTGGCGAAGTGGCCCGGCGAGGCGTCGGTGCACTCGCCCGCGGCGGTGAGGTTGGTGGCGCTCGAGTAGCTGCCAGCCTCGCACGGCAGCGCTGCCGCCGCGCCAACAGCGCAGTGGCTTCCCGCCTCGCACGGCTCGCACGCCGTCTTGCCTTCCTCGTCCTGGTACGTGCCGCCGGCGCAGGGCGTGCACGCGCCCTGCCCGTACGCGTCCGTGTACGACCCCTTGGCGCACGCCGTCTGCTGCGTGGAGCCGGTGGTGGCGAAGTGGCCCGGCGAGGCGTCGGTGCACTCGCCCGCGGCGGTGAGGTTGGTGGCGGTCGAGTAGCTGCCAGCCTCGCACGGCAGCGGCGCCGACGCGCCCACGGCGCAGTAGCTGCCCTCCACGCACGGAAGGCAGCTCGTCGCGTTCGACTCGCCCTGGTACGTCCCGCCCGCAC